TGTGTATTTAAGCCAAGTAGTTGATGGTCCCTTTGAATGTATCTGCATATATTGTTTGGTAAATAACGTTTTGCTGGAAATTAAGTTCTTATATCAAAGTCTTGGAGATTTGTGTCTCCGGGCATATGAAATAGAGCCATGGAAGTTGCAAGCTTTTTCTGTAAATATGTAAATAGGCTGATCATTTTCATCTGACTTCTACTATTGCAATTCTCTTTTATTTTATTTTGACACTTGCCATTAGTGTTTGAGGGGTTGTCTGCCTCCTATGTAAGGAAATGTAAGACTGGGGAGTAATAATTCTGTGTGTGCCTCGTGTTGTGAAAGCGTTAGTTTAGCCAGGTAACATGTAAAGGTATTTGGGCTTACAAAGTTCATTTCACAAATCCTTCTGAACAAGAACAGCACTCGCAGCCATCTCGGGCTTTACAGATCACACAGTCCCAAGGAGTGCAGCAGCCTGACATGTAAAAAGGCAGATATTATCCCTGGTTGGTATAGCTGGGGCTTGTTCTATGGAACGGCTCTGCAGATTGGGGTCAAGGTTTCCAGCTTGAACAGATGTGTGTTGGAATCTAACAGGAACATACAATAGTATCTGTGAGGGACAGTGAGATTTAAATTAATCCCTTCTAGTTGCAAAAGTGCTAATAAGTGTTTCAGAGCAGCACACGCTGCACAAGCTTGAACCTCTGCATTGCTTCTAGGTACAGGTATGCCTACGTATGGCAGGGGAATCAATATGGTGCATGTCTGAATCACCGCTGTGGGGACCCTGTCTGTGAATAAAGGATCAAGTGTTAAGCCGTATGCAGGCTGGAGAATAGCTTTCTGTAGGTAATTATTCTGGTTGATCATCTTAATTAAATTATGATTTGAGCATGATTCTAAGCTTCCCATCATGCTGCAAACAAAGGTGGGGAAGCTGGAATGGGAAGATGCTAGCTGGAGCACTAGACACTCCCCAGGAAGTCCTCTATAGAAATGTTCGCATCAGGCTTGTTCAGGTTTATGTTCTACCAGGTGTTCCTTTGTGCAAGAAACTGATACTGGTGGCAGTCCTGAATAATCAGGATTTACACATCTTCTTTTAGACTGCGGAATCGCTTGTAATCTGTGAGACAAAAGGGAGATGAGGCTTAGCTCCTTTTATCTGACTCTGTGTTTCTGTGACCTACATGTCTTACGGCAGATAGCTTGAATATCCTAGTGTGGTTATCCTCTCCATGAACCAAAGTGTGCTATCAACTGAAGTATGTAAAATGACATGGTGGTTACCTGGGTGAAGTGTGTAAGGATCCCGAGTAAGCCAGAATGCAGGGGTTCATCTGTACCATTGCTCCCTTCAAGCGAGCTAGCCCCAAGCGGTGCCAATATCCAAGCTGTGTTCGGCACTTGTTCTCTGTGGCTCCATACAAAAGTCCCCTGTATGGCTTCCTGACTCGTGTAACACAAATTGTGCAATACAATCTGAAGCGTTGTAAAGGTCCTTTAGAATTTCAATCTATTAAAACTGAATAAAATGAAAGAACCTAAAGTTCAAAGACCTCGGAGGCTAATGCAGAATTCTTCCTTGCATATATAGGTACTTGAAGATAATCCCAGAAAAGATCAGAGTTGTTTGTCAGGAAACCTACACAGAAAATCTAGTGGCTAAAGAATTAAATATATCTCATATTTCCTTGTAAGAGAGGCTGAAAAGATGAAGGGAGGTAGGCTGTTCTTTCCAGTACCAATACAAAGTACTCGTCATTTGATTACTTCCTGAAACATGAACGTTTAACATTCTGCTCCAAATTTTTTACAGCAGACTCTGCTGAGTCATTAACAGCTTGTTAAGTGACTTGGGTTTTAATACCTATGTTTCTGCCTTAGGACTTGACGCGTGTTAGAAAAATCTGGGAATTGAAATGTCCGATTTGCCTTTCCTGCTTTTAGCTTCCAGTTTGGATGTAAAGGTGTTTTTGTAACCTCAGTCAGATGCAGTGAAAGCTTCTGCATCTGCATGGGGGCAGCTTCTGCCTTCATATGCATAGACAGTATCATTCATCCTGGAGAATGTCACATTTCTGCATTACCCAATCTAGATTAAAGGTAAAAATCTCTGGGTTTCTATCCCCAGAAATTTTTTTTCATTAATAATCTCCCTTGTTTCACTACTTTGAAAAGTGACAGCATGTCAGTTGATGCTGTTCTTTTCCTCACCTCTTAGCTTTCTTGCACACTCCATTATCTTTGCCTTTTTAGCTCAAGTCTGTGGTTTATGTGCTCAGTCTTTGGGGCTCTTGCTCTGTAAGCTTTAAACCGCATGGTCAGAATGATTGCTTTCTGAATGAATCAGTTATTCTGGTCTCCAGATATTCAGCCATATGCTGTTGTCTTTCCAAGGCCTATACTTACCTCTAGTAACACCTAAATGGCATTGTCATGTGTGAATTGTTAAAGCATAGTTAAAGCTGCTTAAACAACTGGCAGTATCCTTGTTTTGTTTTGTTTTGTTTTGTTTTTGGATGGAAAAGTATGGATACAGGGAGACACTGGTCATAAGACAGGATTTTTAGGTGATAATTTATTGTATTTCTTCCTCTAAGATTTAGACTTGCTGCGTCCATCGTGCCTTTGAAAACAGCTCTGGAAATAATTAGCCAAGAGCTGTGTGTCACCCCGGCAGTGAGACGGGGCCATGCTCACACTCCACAAACTGTGCTGGGTTTCCTCGTCACGGGTGGCCACCTCTGCTGGGTGTCCTGCAGAGCTGTGCAGGCACGGAGACCTCCCCACCCAGGGTGCTGTCAGCCAAGGGATGGCCTTGGGTTGTTGAGAGTTGGTTTTGGGGTTCAAGATGTGCATTCAGGCCGTGTTATGCACGTGGAAATTGCATGTCAGGGATACAATTTCCATGTACAGAATGGATATAAAAATGGGGCATTTCAGGGCCGTCCTTCCCATGGAGCGAGGATGTGGAAGGAGGGAGCATGACGTTGCCTTTTGTTGGGTGCAGTCTGCTCTACCCATACAAAGCACGGTAATGAATTCAAAAGAAGATTCTGAAGAGACCCCCGCTACTGGTGATGGCTCAGTCCTCTCCATTGTGTCTGACCCTCTTTGACTTCTAACACTCACTGGGGCTTTTTAAATTTTTTAAGTGACTTTGTCTTTTTACTTTTTAATACTTCCGTAGAGTGATAGAAGTTTCTCCCAATTAAGATGATGACCAGGCCTTGGACTTCAATACCTTCTCTCAGTTTCTGCCACTTAATTGTCTAATGAGTAACCCCCCTGTCTAAAGTTCCACATGGGATTTCGGCAGGGGAAAAGAAAGTTTCTGAACTTTTCTGTTTTAATTATTTTAAAGCTGACCTCTCTCTAGAGCTGTCTTCAGTTCCAGGAGGTGTGTGGCAGCCATAGTGGGCATTACTGTCTGATGGCGTGGAAATCCCAATGAGAACAGCTCCTCTCTCCCTTTCAAGTGAAGTGTTAACAGTGAAGCAAGGTTCCAGTTGTTATATTATCGTTTTCTATCAATTTTGTTGGTTACTAAAGATTCTACCTGACTTATGCTGTTAGGACTGTAAAATTACCTGATACCAAACAGTGTAGGCCTGAAATTTGTACCTGTGCTAAGAGAACCACAGAAGGTTTTCTACAAATAACCACTCAGGACTTCAGAAGCCTCTTTAAACTCTTCAGCTTTCCAATCCCTTGCCAGTTCAATCTTCATCCTACAAAGTCTGCAAGATCACCCTGCTCCTTCCCTTCTTCATGCCCATACCCAGCCCAATTATTTCAGGTACAACAGTGATATTTCAAAGTTTTTTCCTGCACCCATATTCACCTCAGTGCTGCTTTCCTACTTCAGTCATACAGTGATGTTGTCTTCTACCTTCTGCTGCTTCATTGCAATTCTCATAATTCCTACTTAATTGTATAAAGCAAAACAAAACAAAAACCCATACACACACAAGAACAACAGCGCAGCTGGGCATAGGGCTGTAAACAGATTTTCCATGGTGTGGTCTCCTTATCCTGCTTCCAATATCCTCTTCACAAAGCAGAGTTCCAATTTAATTAATTTTTAGTTAGAGAATTCAGTTTCTGTTAGATTAGATTCCATCTGTGTTCCTCATCTTTCTAACCCTCCATATATAACACATTGATGTTTTTTTTTTCATTTTGGTATTTCGCTACTGAACTTTTACAAATGGTAATGAAGAAATAAAAGTTCTTGTATAGAGAATGTTGTCTGAGATAGAAATACAGACTTTTTTTATTTGTTACTATTCCAGCAGTAATTAGCTGACTTGCTCCTAATGCCAGGATTTTTCACTTTAGCTTGCTGGGGAATGATGGCATGCACCTGAGGGAAGATCCAAATGTTAGTGCTTCAAGTTGCCACCTGGTGGTATTGTACACGGAATGTACTGCTCAGAGAATGGCAAAATCCAAAAATAAAATCCGATGTAGATGACAAGTTTGTGAATGACAGAAGATGATCTTGATGTTCATGCGGAGCATCGTCATCCTGCTTGTGATTTAAATTTTATGTTCATAAATGCAGAAATAGTGAAGATTTTGCAAACCAGTGACTATTTAGATTTATTTATATGTGACATATTTGTTTCCACTGTTTTGATAGCTAGCCCTTCACATTTGCTCACAAATAATTTAAAAAATCAGACCCATACGACTTCTTTCAGACAACCTCTTTAGAATCTGCTTAATGATAAACATACGGGAGGTTCAGCTGGTTTGAATATGAGTTCACTTCTGAATAATCATGTATTTAATTGCTTTACTAAATGGAGCAATAGCTTCCAGTCGGCAATAGCATGTGAGCCTCTCTGCTTAACTTCACCTTTAGATGTTTTTTGAGTAGGGATGTTTTGTTGGCTGTGGGTCCCCAGCACCCAACGGATGTGACTGATCCAAAAGAAGGATGTTTTGGAAGGTGTGCGCAGCAATGTCACAAGATATGGGAGACAAGCGAAACATGGGGGGACTTCTGCAGTAGTGTAAGGAGAGAAAAAAAGGGGTAAATAGCTCTTACGTGGAATGGAAGAATACCAACAGCTCCCCCCATTTTTGGGGGGTGGCCTACTTGTGGGGGCTGGCCAGGGGCAGACCCAGGTGTGCTATCTGCACCTGTGAAGCTTTGTTGAGGAGAAGGTGGCAATGCAGATAAGGTGCAGCTGTGAAAAAAAAAAAGAGAAATGCAGGCTGCAGGGCCTCAGGGAGGAACCCGTGAGTGTTTGGTGTGTAAGATGTGGTTCTGGTCTTCTGCTTTCTGAGAAACTTCTGTGGGAGAGGTATGGAGTTGTTGGGATGTTGGAGAAGAGTGAGCCTTGTTCTCTGGGAGAAAGGGGAGATGTGCCTCGGTGTGGGGGGGTGTATGCCAGGCAGGGAGGTGGAAGGGAAATGCTGGCTGCTAACATGATCTGTTTGCCTCAGCCTGGAAAAAAATTCAAAAAAAACTGAGTCGTGGTGTTTGCTGGGGAGGAAGCAAAGGGGGAACTCAAAAAATAATATAAAAAAGTGTGTAAAAGGGTTTCTGTGGTGCTGTCTTTGAACTAGTAGATACAAGAGGCTCCTATTCTTGACGTTTGCGTGTACTATCTGGGTGTTGGTACATACTGCTACTAGCATTTAGCATGTACTAGGGGAGGACAGTAAGAAAGTCGTAACAGAAACCTTTTGCAAATGCAAATTATTTCCTGAATGTATTTGTTGTGGTCTTTTTCTGCTTTTATTTCTACTGGAGAAGTTTGCACTTGTGGTTTGGTTACTGTAGTGAAATGACTTGAGCTTAATAAGCAGAAGATGAAGAATACATACTAAAAATAACCACTGGTGACTTAGATACCTCTTGGTAGGTACTATTTACTTTATTTTTTCTGATCTAATGGTGAGGGTAAATAACTTATGAGTTAGTTCAATCTGAGGAAAAAAAAAAAAAAGCAGATTCATCTAGTTTTTGTTAATATACTTAGTCTTCAAAAAAACACTGAATTATAACAAAGAGCGTTTCCTTAAAAACAAACAAACAGAAAACACAAAATCTCCAGCAGATATACGTGTGGTGTTGTGTCCTTAATTTTGTCGTCATCTTTTAGCAGGCAATCACATCTATTATTTTGCCATCATTATGTGGTGTAACAAAAATAAGCTGGGATACTCTAAGCACCAAATTGTCTTCATAAAGAGATCTTTAGGAAGAAATGGATTGTAGTGGGGATTGTAATCTGAAATGCACTAGCATACACAAAGTATATTCCATGTTTAGTGACACTACAAAAATATTCATAATTAAATGTGATGCACAGAGCAATTTTCAGGGGAGCTATTTCATGTAATTAATTTCCAATAACTGTGTTACTCGATATATATGCAAGAAGATAAATACTCTGAATTGTAGTTGGGAAGTACAAATAGCTAATTCGTTAGTTCCACATAAAGAACAGATACAGAAATGGCTTCTGCAGGGGGAATTATGCCGGTGAAACCTGGCATCCTGTTTGAAGCAACAGTGCAGGGCTTCTTCCAGCAGGTCTCTGTTGGGAGTGCCGAAGAGCTCATGCTTTGGGTCAAGGTATACTTCTATTTATGTTTCTGCAGCTTACTGGGTCCAAGTCACAAAAGAGTTGGGCTTTTTATCATTTTCAGCTCATTTTGAAATCACAGTGCACAAAAATTCTTTGAAGTAAGTCTGCTTATGCAAGCTGCTGAATGTAACACTTTTTCATAAAAATCTAAGTCTTCTGGCTTACAGCGTATTCAAGTTCCTATGCTGTAATAGCTAATAGGAGGCCTGATTAAAAACATGGAGCTCCTCAGAGTTTGAGGGGAGAGCTTTTGGGCAGCTTTCTGCATAGAAAACTGAGAGCCTCCTTTCTTTCTTTCTTTTTTTTTTTTTTTTTTTAAAAATCTTCCATTTCTCCCCAACTACTTTTCCATTATCTTGTGTAGTGCTACTAATAACAATGAATATATAGTGAATGTCAGTTAAAAGCCAAGTCTCTGTCTATTATAACTAATGAAAATATATTGAATTTAATATACTTGGTTGGAGATACTAGTTTCTGACAGTAAATGATGGCTTGCGCTAATTAGGGTCATTATCATGGAAGTAGAGTGCATTCTTTAAGGCAAAGGTACTACTGGTATTTGAGACTCAAAAAAAAAACAACAACAACACTTTTTTGGTAAAACTTGAATGAAATGCTAAGTAAAGCTTATTGTCAGCGCTGTTATGGTGTTGGCTACTTTGAGGAAAACAATCTATTGCTGCTCTGAAGGCTGGCAAAGAGGTTTGGGCACTTTCAGGGCTTTTTGGCTTGCATGGGAGGCTGGAGGAATGGTGGCATGTTGACTTTTTTCCTACCATATCTTCTTCTTATCTCTTACTTTCCACTAACTGCACTTCATACGTGCAGGGAGTACCTCAGGATAAAGGGAGCCTCAGTGCAAGTGATCCAGGCTGTCAGGATCACAAAGGTCCTCAACAGGCGTATGGCAAGAGATGCAGGATGACGAGGAGAGAGCACTAAGCAAATAGTTTTCATGAGCTGTTAGAATATAAATCAGAATGTTTGGCTTTTTTATTCCTGAAACGGAGAGAGGAGCTCTCCATCTGGGGAAAAAAGTACTCCAGGGGGAGAAAAAGTACTTTACTGTGATGAATCTAACTCTGGCTAGCCCAAATCTCTTAAAGCCAAGATGAAAGTATCCTGTAGTTGCTCTGTGAGATACCTGCTGTCAGAGACGTGGGGTCGGTTCCTTCTGCTGCTGTTTGGCAGATGAGGTCGCTGCTGTTACCTGTTGTTTGGAGCCGGGTGCCCAAACCAAGGCTCTGGCGTTGTCCCCGCTTGGTTCCCCCCAGCCTCCCACGGGGAGAGGGGAAGGAAGCTTCTTTGGTGCTCATAACCTTTAATTATTGTAAGTGACTTTATGTAAGGGGCTCTCAAGTATGTGGCCAGGTAGGGACATATCTGTTCAGCTGCTCACTTCTTTCAAGTAAGTTTTAACATTTCGTTTTAATATTGTTATTACAGCGTGGACACGCTACAACTTAGTGATATTAGTGATAGTGAACCAATTATTGGTTCTGAAATGTATATTTTTTGAATGCCAGATGATGATTCTATGTGTTGCCTGTAGGATGTTACTTCTCTTTGATGTTTTGCCCCTTCCAGTAAGTGAAATAATTTGAGTTATTTCAAATATGGAGTGGGAATTCCCAGGGGATCTACGGAAAATATCTTGAAGCTGTATGTAAGCTAGTGTTCTGTTTAGAAAAAGAAAGGGGAGCAAAATGTTTTGCCTCATGAGACTACTGAATGAGAGATTCTTGCATCACCAGGCCAGTTCCAAACAGAATTTCTGACTTTAAAAGCAATGCTGGCTAAAAATGCTGCTAAATATTTTATTCTGAAGTTTCAGAAAGGCCAAGTAATGCGTCATTTAGAGATGCACATGTATGTTTGTTGGCTTGTTTAATGGTGATCAATGGAAGTCAAGGAGCTGAGAAGTCTGAGATGAGCACAGTGCTACAGAGGAAGGGCTGAGCTCTCTACGAGTGCTTTTGGCCTGAAGATAAGTCAGGTGCTTACAGGGTTGTTTGATTACAGTCATTTGGGTTGAATAGGAGGGAAGAGAGGAAAGAGTAGGTTTAAAGCAGGAAGAGGAAAACTGAAGTAATGTGCCGGGAGAGGCAGAATAAAGTCAACTGAAGATTAGCTGTGCTACACTGAAAGCAAAAGCTCTGAGCAAGGACTTGTTTTCAGGTGAAGAAAGTGCAGTACATGGGCATCACTCCCTGCATCAACTGCTCTGCAGTGTTTCTGTTACAACTTGCTCTTCCAGCTAGCATCTCCATCTATTTCTCTTCCAAGGAAGAAGTTTGTGCTTCTACTGCAATGGTATACGTAGGTTTCAGCTACACGCTTGGTTGTCTTAAAGATAACAAAATGGAACAGAACTCAAAACCCTTTAAAGCTTAGACACTTGTTATCCTAAAACAGTTGAAACAAGAAATTTGTATATTGTAAAATATAGCTGTCTTTAAGAAAACAGCAGAAGAGTAAGAGCACAAGAGCGTGGCTTTAGACTAATTCAGGTTTTTGTTGCACTTCATTACCTTATCAGGAGAAGGACTTTGAGCTGCAATCACCTGTAACTTCTGACATCCTGACAAAGGAAAAATTGGTGGAATCCCCTCGAGGGGGAGGGAACAAACAAACAAAAACCTGATTTATCTCAGCAACACCAGTGTTCACAGTCTACAGGAATCTCTTAAGGAAGCAGTTGCTGAAGACTAATACTTGAATATGGATGTTTTTCCAAAATTGGGCTTTTAACTATTTGTTTTCATCTATTTTTAGTCTGCTCATAGTAGCAGTAATTCAGACGCGGTAATGTACAACTCAAACTGTCAAACTGATTACATTCTACATTCTTCTAACAATTTGAAGGGATGGAAATATTTAGCAAGCATGTATAATATGTTCAGGGTACTATCATGTCTTTGTCAAAGCTCTCTGATCTCACAGGACGTGTGAATAATGGAATGGGTTACTTTTAGAATGTGCAAACAATACCTAATTTTGTTTAGTCTGGATTTAACATTCTCTTATCATACATAAGACAATCTATTTTATTGCAAAATTTAGCATACTGTCTTGAGAAAATTAGTTGTCAGCTGCACACAATTGTTTGTTTTAATTGTGTAAGGTAAGCAGGGAGCATCTCAGAGATGAAGGTGCAAGAATCATGGGAATTCAGAAGAATTTAGGTTTTGAAGTTTAATGGATGGGAGCCTCTGCCTGTTTCAGGCACCCAGGTTTTAAATAGATGCAGGACGCAAGATGGAACCGTAGGCCCTGCTTTTTTAGGTATGCACCATTGGCTGCGCTTCTGCTGTTTTATTGCCATGAAAGCATGGCTGCCTTGATTACACGTAAGTTATGAGAGCTGAATGATTCTGGCAAGTTAAAAATGTAAAAGCGACGTTTTCACTGTTAAAAAATGCAGAAGTGTAGCCACTGATATATTAAATTAAGGTAACCGCATGTAAATGCGCAATGTGTATTCATTTAGTGTGTGGCTTGGACTAGCTGTTGGATGACTAATGGGTTGCTTCATATTAGTCAGCAGATATGGATGTGAAGAACAGGAGAATATCTAGAAGCAGTTAATTCATCTGTGCATCCAGCCTGAGCAGCTCTTAAAATCTCTGCAAGGCCTAGCTGCCTCTCTGGTTTTCCTAATGCAAATAAAATGTAGTATCTACGTTAATTAGGATTTCTGGGAG